TTGCATGAGGTTGCAACGAGTCGGACACAACTTGGCAACTGAACAACAACGATGGAGGAACCAAGCTAATTGCTTGCTTAGCTCCTTTGCTCTCCCCTGAGCCATTGTCATAGGGTCAGCCCACCCAGGATGGGGGGGTTAGGTTGCCCCCAGAAATATGTTTTCCATTAAAGGAGATGGCTTTTCTATCAGCTCGTTTCCGAAAGGGTCAGGCACACACTGGAGAATCACTGCCTGGGCTTGAATCGTGGCAAACCTTGGGCAGGAGACTTTTCTGTGTCTTAATTTCCTCATGTGCAAAATGGGACTAAAAATAGTAATGTGTTGTATCCAATTTATTCACATAAAGCACTCAGAACAGCATCTAGGACACAGATGCTGTAGAGGTGTGAGCAGCTATTACGCCAGCCAGCTCTGGCATCTCCCTCTCTGAGAGGGGACAGAAGGGAGAAAAGAAGGGTTCTGGCTTCCCACACCCCACCCAAGTCCACCTGAGTTCCCTCATGACCTTAGACACAGGGGCTCAGACAGAGGTGCACGTGAACAGAAATTTAGAGTCCCAGCCCAGTCTCTTGTCTTTGCTTGCCTGGACACTGGAAAAGCACCCCCTCCCATATCTGGGGGCGGTCCTCACTCAGAAGGGGGCTGGAGTGTAGGGGAATTCCAACCATGGCTTCCACATTGCAGGTCATGACTCATTATGGGGTGAGGTATGTGTGTGTGTTTTTAATGTAACAAATATGGTGGGATTAAAAAAAAAAGCAAGGATTTAGTAGTGGCTCATTTAAAGTGTGCGTTCGCATGCACACACGCGCTAAGAGGGGTTTCTCACTGTGGGTTAGAAGCCAGTTTTCAAAGCGCTGAGTGAGAGAAGTAGAATGTTTTAAGGAGCTTGAGCACTGAACATGCCCTCAGCATAGCCAGAGGGAGCCCCCAGTAGGGGGTTCTGCTCAAGGATTCTGCTGAATGGATGAATGAACAGAAAGAAAGGGGACTTCCTATTGGCCCCCTGCTTCAGGGCCCTCTGGGGACCACAGGAGAGGCTGTAGCAGGAAATACAGGACACAAACAGAAACAGTGAAGGAGCCATAATCCAAGAGAAGCCGACTCCGTCTGGTAGAGATGCTTTCTATCCACAGCCACAGAAATACCTTAGCAGAGGCCACAAGGTGTTCTTTTTGCTTTTAAAAAACCTGTTTATATGTTTAAAAGAAATAGATGCAAGCCATTCAGCTCTCTGAAAAATGCAGAACCAAGTTAAATGGAATGCTGATGGCATGTATTGAAGCGGTCACAGACTGCCAGCACTTTCTCGCTGCCCTGGGAGAACATGGCACCAGGCTGGAGTTAGCCGTGTTAGCGTTAGTTTCTCAGTCATGTCCGACTCTTTGCAACCCCATGGACTGTAGCCTCCAGGCTCCTCTGTCCATGGAATTCTCCAGGCAAGAATACTGGAGTGGGTTGCTATTCCCTTCTCCAGGGGATCTTCCCGAACTATGAACCCAAGTCTCCTACATTGCAGGCAGATTCTTTACCATCTGACCCCCGGGGAGCTGTCCTCCATGGCCATTTAGCTGCAACTCAAAATTTAAGTATGAATGCCCTTTGACCCAGCATCAGCACCTTCACGGTTTTATCTCATATCAACTGGTACCTTAAAAATCTACATAACTGCACAGATGCAGGTACAGGAATCTATGTTGCAGCACTGTTTGCAACAGTGAGAAGTTGGAAACAAACAGCCATTGGTAGAGGAGCTCCACGGGTGATGGTACATCCACAAAACGAAGATGATATGATGGGGCAGTTCAGAGTGAGGAAACTGTCAGGTAAGAAAGCATGTGTCATGGCTAGATGAAAAAAGCAAGTGGTAGAGAGCATGTAAAGCATGTCCTGAGTTTTAAAACATTTGCATGTGAAGAAATGTGCTCCCATGCCTGCAGCAACCATGATGTCTGATGGCTGGACGTGGCGGGACTACAGGAAGAGCATGTACTTAACTCATTTTTGTACTGTTGGAAATTTTACAACTAGCATGGGTTTTGAAATCAGGGGAAAAAATTAAATAATGAACAAGGATCATAAAGCTTTATTTAATAAATATAATCCAAACCTTCAAAATATTTTTATTCCATATGTAGCCAATTAGGAAAAGGAAAAAAAAAGTTATAAGGAAATGTTTGAAGGGATTACGTGGAACGGTGTCAGGAGAAAGGGAGGAGGATGGGAAGATTCAAGCAATAAAGGTTAAGTGGAGACCAGAGGGTGCTCAGGACCTCACAATTCTCAAAGCGCCACCTTCACAGGCCATGTCTCATGGGGCCCTGGGGCCTTCCAATCCTCCTTGGCCATGATTCGAGATGGTAAACTGATATTTGTGGAATGAATCACGACTCCAGAAATTTGGAAATCCTCTCAAAACCAGGGAGGCGGTCTACCTTTTCTATAACAATCAGGATTGCCTTATTTCCCCCCTAAAATAAAGTATCTGGCTGGACAACTGTAAGCTCTATCAGGGAATAACTTAACTTTTCTGAAGAGACTTTAAGATCCTCAAGGCCATCCGCTTACACTAGGGCTTAATGTCCATCTGCTACTGAAACACCGGGTTCTGTTCTGATGCTTCCAAACCACATTTGAAAAGAGAACTGACTTCATAGTGCATATTTTTCAACTCCTTGGGGAAAGGATGGGAGGGTCAGGTCTGGTCGTGGGGACACCATGTGGTGAGAAATCAATGAATCAGTTCAAAGGAAGGCGTCTGAGGTGCAGGGAGGTGAGCTCTGTCCTGGCACAGAGTAGGTGAGCCTGGATAAACCTGTGTGGTGCTGGGCCCTCAGGAGAGAGGTCTGGACCGCCAGGAATGGGGCCTCATCAAAATAACCCTAAAAGAGGCTGTATCCCAACACAGGTGTGTGTGTTACAAGGAGTAGGTGGCAGTGTGGAGGCCCTCTAGGGACTTCCGCAAAGGCCTGGTGGACACGGGCGGCAGGGGTAGACGCTCTCTTGGGCTGACTCAGCACAGGCCAATTCTAGGTTCTGAAAAGAGACACTCCTAAGATCATCTGCAGAAACAAGATGGGCCTGAAGCCCTGCAGGGCCTCCCTGAGGGGCCGGAGAAGGGGCAACAACACGGAGTCCAGGCACAAGGCTCGTTTGTCCACTCTTTATTAAAGCTAGGTCCTTCCTCCTGCTGACAGCTGCGGGGCAGGGCGGCTGGGGCCCAGGACGGGTGCAGGTCTGTACTCAGGGCTGGGCCAGGCAGGATGGGCATGGACCGGACCCCAGCCTCAGGGGCTGGCCCACCTTGCCCTGGGCCCTTCCTGAGGCGCCTTCCCACAGCGGGAGAGACAGGCCAGGGACAGAGGGCACCAGCCAGCACCTCCCTGGGAACCCCTGTCCTCCTCACCACCCACCCCATCCCCCCACCCCCATCGGCCAGGCTAATTCTCACCACCACCATCCGGCCATCCAGGCTCTCCTCCCACCCACCGACTACGGTGACTACGGTGCCTCCTACCGCCCAGCCACTAGTAGCCTGGCTGCCGGCTCCCAGGCCCCAAGGCCACATCTACACTAACACAGAAGGAACTAGGTCTAGAAGGGAATACGTTTGCTTCAAAATTTCGGTTTTCTGGCCCCACTCACACTGGCCCAAAAAACATCAAGGTGGGGGGGCAGGTGTCTTGCAAGTGACCTGGTGGCTTCAAACGGCCAGGCCTGGAAGGTGGGTGCTGGCCGCAGGCCTTGCATAGTTGGATACTTGGTCAGTCACTGAGCCATGGGCTCAGGTCAGAACCCCCCAAGGTAGACGGCTCACCGCCCACTCTGTGGAATGCGAGTCTAAACAGAAACACGGCTGGCTTCTAGTGTAGGACGACGACAGAGGCAGAGTGAAAGGAGCCTGGGGTGGGGCGGGGTGGGCAATCATAGCCCTAATGGTGGGATGTAAGAAACGACCTTGCTACTGACCTCTGTCACTTTACACTGGGTTATTGGATCTAAGTGAGCCACGGGCTCAGAAGAGCAGGGCCCTGTATGTCCCTCCGTGTGGGCAGAGGAGCAGAAGGCCGGGGCGTAGGGCTGTGGGGGAATCTCTGAGTGCGCTCCTCCAGCTGCCTGGGGTAAGGGCACCAAAGAATTCCAAAGGGGAGTTAAGACTAAACCCCATGCCGCCAGGCTGGATCTCGGCGCTCAAGTGGGGTGAGCAGAGTGAGGACTCTGGAGAGTAAGGCTTCCAGGTCCCTGAGGACCCTGTGAATACCTGCTACCCCATCCTACTCCATCCTGCACGGGGCCACGATTTGGTTTCTGGCTTTTTTCTCCTCCTTCCAGATTCTTCGGGCCACACAAGCAGTGGAAATAAATATCCGTGGTCACAGAATAAAAGCTTTCCCAGGTGCATCGCTGCTTCCCCCACCCCGGATGAGGGAGGAACACTGTCCTTTGAAAACCCACGAGGTCTCCCCTCGCCACGCAGTCCTTAACGCTTCCTGGACATACTCTGAACGGCCAGGAGGTCCCTGAATTCTCCCGCTGAGGGATGGGAAGAAGTCGTCAGCCAAATCCCTCGACCACCCCACCCTCCCTTGACGCAAGGCCTTCCCCTCCCTCGCCGTTAAGTTAAACCCCCGTTACTCACTCACATGCCACCTCTCCCCCGGGCCACCCAAATCGAACCCGGGTAAAATAAATAACATCGCCTGCCGTCCCCACCGCGTGGTCTCACCGCATCGATCCAGGGATGTCGCAGTCTCCCGTCGGGGTGGCCGCCCCTGCCCCATCAGCTCCACGCGCGGCTCGCCTCGCCCCCCGTGCCCCCCTCACTGCCATGCGAGCTCGGCGGCCGGTTCTCTAGGGCCGAGCAGGAGGGAAGCCCGAGGCCGGTGCACCGGGGCTGAGGGTAAGGCACCGCACCAGGGCTGGGGCCCTCGGCACCCCCCGAGGCCAGAGGAGCAAAGGGGCGGCGGCCTAGCGGCCTGCGCCTCCGTCACAGGCCCTCACAGGATGGTCTCCTCGTAGGCGCCCGAAGGCCCCGCGAAGGCGGCCGTCGGCTCGGAGCCGAAGCTCGTTCCGCCCGCGAACTCCAGCAGGGTGCTGCCGTGCTCCCCAGGCCCGGTCCCTGCGCCCGCGCTTGGCGGTCCCTTGGCGGGCGCCTCGGCCTTGGGCGCAGGCGCCGCGGGCACCTGGCCCGGCGCGCCCGACGCGCTGCGGTGCGTCTTCATGTGAGTGAGCAGGTGCGAGCTCTGCGAGAAGCGGCGGCCACAGTTGGCGCAGGCGTAGGGCCGCTCGCCCGTGTGCGTGCGCTGGTGCGTCACGAGCACCGAGCGCTGCGAGAAGCGCTTGCCGCACTCGGGGCACGGGAAGGGTCGCTCGCCCGTGTGGCCGCGCCGGTGCTTGGCCAGGTTGGAGCGCTGCGCGAAGCCGCGGCCGCAGTCGGTGCAGCGGAAGGGCTTCTCGCCCGTGTGCGTGCGCCGGTGCCGCTTGAAGTCCGAGCTGTGGCCGAAGCCCTTGCCGCAGTCGGGGCAGCGGTGCGGCTTCTCCTCGGCGTGTGCCCACTGGTGCCGCGTCAGCGCCGCGCTCTGCCCGAAGCGAGCGGCGGTGGCGCGCCAGGTGCGAACCATACACGAAGCTCTTGCCGCAGTCGGCGCAGCGGTGCGGCCGCTCGCCTGCGTGGTAGCGCTGGTGCTTGGCCAGCGCTGCGCGGCGCCCGAACGTCTTGCCGCAGTCGGAGCAGATCCACGGGCTCTCCTCCTCGGCCAACGCGGCGGGCGCCGGCTCCGCCAGCAGCCCCCCGACTGCAGGCCCGAACGCGCGAAGGCCGCTGGTGCCTCCAGGCCCGGCCCCGCCGCCGAAAGGGTCGCAGGCCAGCCCCGCGCCCTCCACCAGGGAGAGCCGGCCCCCCAGGGGTCCGGGCAGGGGGCGCCCGTCGGCCGGCAGCCGCTCCCCGAAGTCCGGGAGGCCCAGGATCGGAAAGCCATCCGGGTGGAGCCAAGACTTGGGGTGCATGGGGAAGTGGAAGCCGAGCGGGTGCGAGGAAGGGCCTTCGCCCTCCCCCAGGCCGTTGCCTAGCCCCAGAAACCGCCTGTCCGGTTCAGGGTCATCCTTGCTCCGGGAGGTGGGCGCCTCCACCGCCTCCTCTCTCACCTCAGCCTCTCCCTCAGTCTCTCCGTCCGCCTCATCGACCTCTGGCCCCTCCGGCCCCGCCTCGGCCTCCTCGGGCCCCGCTGCGGGCCCCGTCTCGTTGCAAGGCTCCCGCCGAGGGCCCTCGCCACCGGGCTCCGCGCAGCCGCCGCCCCGTCGATGGCGCTGGAAATCGGCGCGGAGACGGAAGGCCTGGCCGCAGTCGGGGCAGCAGTGGGGCCGGTCGGCCGTGTGCACCGCCTGATGCCGCGCAAGCGCCGAGCTCTGGCTGAAGCTGCGGCCGCAGTGCGGGCAGGGGTAGGGCCGCTCGCCCGTGTGCGTGCGCTGGTGCGTGACCAGGTAAGAGCGGCGCCCAAAGCCCGCGCCGCAGAAGGCGCAGCGGTAGGGCCGCTCGCCCGTGTGAATGCGACGGTGCGTGACCAGGTGCGACTTGTACACGAAGCGCTTGCCGCAGTCCGGGCACGGGAAGGGCTTCTCGCCGGTGTGCGTACGCTGGTGGATGGCCAGGTGCGAGCGGTACACGAAGCCTTTGCCGCACTCGTCGCAGCCGAAGGGCTTGACCGCCGCGTGGTAGCGCTGGTGCTTGGCCAGCCGGGACCGGTGCGGGAACACCTTGCCGCACACGTCGCACGTCGTCTCCGGGCGCCCGGCTGGCGCAGCCACCGCGGCCGGGAACGCCCAGGGCGCCAGGAGGCTCGCACCCGGCTCCCGGCCCGGCAGAAAGGGCTTCGACTCAGACTCCGGGGCCAGGACCCCGAGCCCGCCGGGGTCCAGACCCCACCCCTCCGGAGTCTGCGCAGAGTCCGAGTCGTCGGGGCCCCAGGTCCCAGGCACGTCGCCCACTCCGTAGGCCGCCGACCACAGCCCCGGGGGTTCGTTCTCCTCTGCCGCCACCTCTGCCAAGAAGTCCTCGTCGTCCTCCTCGTGGTCCTCTATGTCGTCGGTCCAGAACCAGGCCCCTGACGGAGACGAGACGACCGCGGGAGAGGTGAGAAGACGCCGTGCCAGCAGCCCCTTACCGGCACGGAGCCCGAATTCAGGATGCCTCCGTCCCTACCCCAGGTAGGAGGAACTCTGCAGACAGGAGGTTTCTCCGTCCCTCCTAGGAAGGCTGGTGTTCCTTCCCTTCTCGAATTTGCCTCACATGGCCTCAACTAATCCCTTGTCCACACCTCCAGCTCCCTCCAGGGCTTGCCACCTCGCGGAAGGACAGGGACACCTACAAAGTAGGTGACGTCGCCTGTGGGCTCCTGTGAGACCACGGGCCAGAAAAATAGATTGAGATGCCTGCTCTGTTTTTTCCAAAGCCCCCTGTCTCCTGGAGAACCCCACCTCCTGGCCTGCTTGGCCCAAGGCAGCCCAGACCCCAGCCCCAGCAAACCCAAGCCATGGAGGACTTGACTTTGTGAACACCTAAGCTTTGCTCAGCGTCCCTCTGGCTCTGGGTCCCTCTCCCCCAGCCTCAGGCTCCCACCCGCAGAGTAGAACCAAGAAAGGCTGCCCTGAGCCAAGGACCTACAGGGGCCTGGAGGCCTCAGCTCTCTGCACTCACCCTAACTATGCTCCAGCTATTTTGTGGGCAGAGACGAGCCTCCCTGAAGCCTGTTTTTTTTTTTTTTTTTTTTTTTTTCTGAGCCATTGTGCACTTGAGAAATGGTCCCAGACTGACTAAGACTGGGTGAGCTACAAACATCTTTCCATCACAGAAGGCTGAGGACCCACCCCAGGACCCTGCAATCCCATCCCTCCTTCACCAAGCAGTTTCCTGACCTCACCCTTCAGTGTGGAGTGCAGACATAGAATCGGTTTATAAACGGGGTGATTCGCCTGCTGTCCTGATACACCCAGGAGGGAACTGGTATTTACAGAGCAGGCGCTACGTCACACAAGGAACCTGGCCCGCAGCACCCCGGTATTCAGAGCACCTGTGTGCCACCTGCCTCGGGGGCACTCTGCCTGCGTCTGTCCACCACGGCCACACACCGTGCAGTCCACTTCAGAATTCCAGCACCTGGAAGGGTCACTCCAGGCTGAGGTGGGGACAGGGTTCCCCCAGTTCCCAGATGCAAGCCTGTTTGGGATCCGAGTGAGGACCCATCAGGTCTACTGGTGAGGCTGGAGCCAGGGCAGAGGAGGTGCTCTGACCAAGGGCTGGGGGCCTTTCTCCACAGGGCTACCTCTTCCAGAACCCACGGCAGGGAGTGGACAAGTGCACCCTGGGGAAGGGAGGCTGGCACCTCGTCTGCCTGACACTTCCACTCCTGAGGACTCTGACACCAGGTGAGGACTAGCTCGGCCAGGGCCATGCTCCAAGCCTGGCAACCCGCCCATACTTACCCCCGAGACACATGGACAAGGGGGAGAACACCCCAACCGCGTGTTCAGAGACTGGCCAATGGAAGCCTGCAGTCCTTCTGTCCCCAGGTGGCATTTCAGAGCTGGACCCCAGAAACAGGGCACACCTCCCGCTAAGACCCTCTGAGAAACATTACCTACATCCCAGTCTCAGCCTGGGGGCAAGAGCAGCATTTCTTACCAGCCAGAGGCCCGCCCCCCAATTCTGAAGGCCAGGAGACATTCCCACAGACACCCAGAGAACTCGGGGACCCAGGGCAGGAAGGCCCACAGCACAGTGGAAAGTAAGGCCCGAGGCCTGAGCCCACCATGGGCAAGTGACTGAATCGCTACTTTAAAAGTTGGTTTCCTCATCAAGTGAGACCAATCGTCCCTCCCCTGCTATTTCACAGAGCTGTTACGAGAATAAACAGTATACAAGGAAATACTCTGAAGAGTACACGTGTAGGCATAGCACCGTTTGTGTCTTCCTGTATTTTATTGAAAACATCTACACGCTGCTCCAGGTACGTGAGTGGCATAAGACATCCGGAGCCCGCACGAGGCAAGCATCACCCAAGAACAAAGCCAAACACACGCACTGTGCACGGGCCTCCACTGAACCTCCCAGAACAGCTCACAAACCCCGCGGGGGCACCTCCATAGAACCAACAGTCCAACAGCTTCAGCGCAGGAAACTACAGGTTTCCTTCAAACTCTTTCTTCTCCACACGACTAAAAAATGAGGCCCAGAAAGTTGGAGGGACAGAGCCGGGTCTGGGGTCTCAGGAGAAATCCACCACCCTGAACACTGCCCTCCGGAATGCTGGCCCCGGGCCTCCCAGCGAGAGGAGCTGGCCAATCAGGTGGGGAAGCCGCGACAGCTGACCCTCAGGCGCACAAAGACCACCAGAGGCCAGGGCAAGGAGAGAACATTATTTTTAAAGACTTGTAACAGGAGCCTCGAGGTTCGCTACAGACTCCCCAGGCCTTGGGCCTCTGCAGATGGAACCAAGAGGAGCCAACCCTCAAAGGCAGGGGTGAGCCCCCAGCGCCGTGCGGTCCCCACGGAGCCCCCCAACAGCGCAGACGAGCAACACCGGGCCCCTCTCGGGGGCTGCAGCAAAGGTGCAGGCTGAAGTCTGCCAGAAACTCTGCGAGACTCCGTGTCACGCTCACCTGTGTAGACGCCAGTGACGATGTCTCCCTCCTCGGGACGGGGGCTATCCGGGACCCACGGCTCCTCTCCTTGCTCCAGCCGGAAGATCAGATCCGGCTTGGGGACTGGGTATCCTGGCCCGAAGAGAAGAGGTGGCAGCTGCAGGGCTCTACTCGCACCCCGACCCACAGAGCTCTGCCACCACCGCTCCTGTCCCGTCCCCTCCAGAACCTGCCTCCCCACCTCCCGGCTGGAACTCCCACACCCCCAGCTCCCCGCCAAGCCCCCCTCCACAGGGGGCCCCACCCCTCTCCTCTGCCTCTGGACTCCTTGCCCCTCGAGGCCTCCAAGGGGAGCACAGACACCAGCGCTCTACTCGCACCCCGACCCACAGAGCTCTGCCACCACCGCTCCTGTCCCGTCCCCTCCAGAACCTGCCTCCCCACCTCCCGGCTGGAACTCCCAGCCCCTCGAGGCCTCCAAGGGGAGCACAGACACCAGCGCTGGGCCAGCCACTCCCCAGGACGTGGAACCTGGGTCAGGGTGCTGCTGGGCCACAGTGAGCCCCCCCACGACACACCCTGGCCAGAAGCCAGGTGGTCCCCAGGGCTTCCCTGGGAGGTGAGCTGGCACCAGCACCCCCTTCTCCGGGACCCTTGGGCTCCACACACCACCCTCAGACAGCTAAGCCCCAGGCAGCCATCGGGCTAGGATGCCTCCTGTGGACGGAGGGCTCCACTCACCCAAGGACACCAGAATCCCGTAGTTTTCCCGCATGACCTCCTTGTAGAGCTCCCGCTGGTCTGCGTCCAGCCTTTCCCACTCCTCCAGGGAGAAGTACACAGCCACGTCTTCAAAGGTCACCAGCCCCTGGGAAACAAAGTGCCCTGGCCACTGCCCTCCCCTGACTCGGGTAAGAGGCAGGGGTGCACCCCCACAAAGACAGGACAGGAGATCACTTCGGTGGGAACTGGGCTCGCCCTGCAATGTGGGGCTCACGAGGATACAGCCGAGCACCCCATCACTGGCGAGCCTGCAGATGCCTGATGGAATTAGGGGCTCCCAGGCCTTGCACAGGCCAGTCTCACTCAGCAACCAGGACCTCAGGCTCAGAGAGGGAGATGGCTCAGCTCAGGTGGGGCAGCATGGGGTCTCACGCCGAAGTCCCAGGACCACGACACCCAGGACCCCTTGGCTGCGCTGCGTGGCCACTCATCCCTCCCGCATCACTGTCTGCCTCAAGCCAGGGGTCACATCAGTGGTGTGAGAGCTCACGCCGGGGTGGGCAACTGGCACCAACAGAGTGTGGGCACTGGCGCCCGATCAGGACAGTGGCCTGGGAAGGGTCAGGCCCAGGACGGCAGAACCATAACCCCTGGGCTTCGGACTAGAGAGGGCCAACTGCTTCCCGCGGCCCTGACCCGGCTCACAGCTGGGGCTCGGCCTGGGAACCACAGGGCTGCTGCCCTGCCAGCAGGGGATTTCCGAAACAGCAGGTGCGGATCCCACCCCGCCCCTCCGAGGAACCCCTGCCTGGTTAACTGAGCCCCAAACCAGGGGGCAGCTCACCTGAGACGCAGACGTCAGGGAGTCGTCCTCGTCCTCGTCCTCGTCCTCCTCTTCGTCCCCCTCCCGCTCCAGGTCCTCATCCCTCAGCGTGGCTGGAGCCCGGGAGGCCTGCAGGGCTGAGCGGAGAGACTCTTGAGGTCGGGGCTTTAGCCTGGAACGGTCACGTGTCCGTCCAGCTACCAGGATGGGCTGCTCCCGGCCACGCCCCCTTTTTAAATGCAAGGCGCTGACCCCGCAGCCCCAGCTCCGCCCTGTCCAAGAGCTCTTCCTGGCTGCCCCCTGGAGCCCCCAAAACTTCCCCCCCAGGGGTCAGCTCCTTTCTCTTACCCTTTTCCTTAAGGCCCGGCGACTCGGTGTCCCTGCCGCCGCGGGGGCGCTCCTGGGTCCCCGACGCTGGACTCTGCTCTTCTGCCAGCGCCTCTTCCACCGTGCCATCCACCTCCACGTCCACGTCCACCACCACCTCCTCCACCAGCCGCTCCTCCAGCGCCTCCACCTGGTCCTCCTCCAGCACCTCCACCTGGTCCTCCTCCAGCACCTCCACCTGGTCCTCCTCCAGCGCCTCCACCTCCTCCCCCTTTCCTTCCTCCTCTTCTTCCTCCTGGTCAGGACCACACTCCGATCCATCCAGCCTCTCCAGCTGGGCGGCCGGCAAGTCTGGAGTCGTGCGCGGGGCTGCCATCGCCTCTGCCACGAGCCTCAGCTTGGCCTAAAACACAGACGGTGATGGTGAGGGTGACGCGCCGCCCCCGCGAGTCTGCTCCAGGGCCCCACAGCCCTCCGGGTGAGGCAGGGGTTGCTCTGCCCTGAGATGCAGTAACGGGCACCGGGCACCAGGATGGGAGCGCTTTCTATGATCTCAGGGGGCACAGCCTAGATTCTGTCCCCAGAAATGCTGCCAAAGAGCCCCTCACTATGACCCCCGTTACTTGGCCTCGGCTCTTTCCTGGGAGCAGGACAGGCCTGCTGTGAACCACCGTGCTTTCTTGGAGGAAATTGGGGATTAATCCTGCATTTTTTATCCTCAAGAACGTGGAAGCATAAAGTCCAGGCAACGTGCTGGAGGGTGGTCTAGCTTGTGTTTAGCTGAAAGGGGTGCATGCAATCGCCTCTCGGCCTTTTGGCTAAGATTAAGTGAAAGGGGTACACGAAGCCTGTGAGGAACAGCCCACCCGATATATGAGTGGAGGAGATGCTCACCCAGCTCTAGACACCCAAACTTGGCAACAGGGAGTATGGGAGCCAAGGTCTGAGCATGCGGGCCAGGGTCCTGGGCGGGGAAGGTGAGACCACCCTGCCAGGAGCACCTGCTCTGCCAAGCCAGCAGGTCAGGCCCCTTTTGGAGCAGGCATACAGCACACCCCTCGCCCCTTGTGCCATCCAGGGCAACTGGAAAAAGCTCAGCAGGTCATGGAGATCTGGTTCATCGCTGGACCAGCAAAGGTGAAATGAAACGCCTGGTGACCCTGTTCACGTTTAGGGATCAGAGAAGCCTAAGTGTCGAGTCATCAAACCGGTGACTCACAGCACCTGAAACTCACGTGGATGTCACAGACGGCTCAGCCAGGCACTCGGGGGGGGGGACACGGTCACACTGCCTGGGGCACAGAGCCTGGGGCTGTGGACCCAAGACAGACGGGATGCTGAGAGCCCTGGGGCCACTCCTCTCCCACCTGTGTATCCTTCACCAAGCCCAGTGGAGCACCGAGGACAAGACAGAGGCACGGGCTTTGAGTGCAAAGCGCAGAGGCTAAGGGCCATCAGCCAGCGTGGCTCACCAGCCTCTCAGACCTGAATGGGGTCACTTCCAAAGTGAGCCAAGCCTATTACAAACACAGCAACCCCAGGATCCTGGGCAGAGAGTAGGAACCCCGGAGGATCAGGGGACACCAGGGCCCACCCCAGCTCAGCCAGCTCTACCAGCACACGGCGTCTGCCACAGAACCCCTAAACCAGGACAGGGCCCCCACAGAAAGGTGCCCCCCAGTCATGAGAACAGTCCAGACCACTGCACACCCCCTAGGAGAAGTGCTCAGTGATTAGCTCTTACCACAACTCATCACGTTTCTGTTAATAAGGCAGCATGTGCCCATTTTTCTCAAGTGTTCTGAGCTGCTGCTTTAAAATCCACACTGTAATTGGGAGGGAACTCTGAGCATTCGCACAGCTCCTCCCAGAGATCAGGACCCAAGTCCAGGGGCACATGGGCGCCCAGAAGCCACCTTTGTCCTGACTCTCACGCTGATCCCATTCTAGATCCCATATCACTGGACCAGACGTGCCAGTCGTGGGAACTACACCCAGGAGGGCAACCTCCACCCTAGTTGCTCCCAGAGCCCATGTCCTCGGTCTCCCTGGCTCTCTGGCCGCGTGAAGGTGCCTGAGCTGTAGAAACACGTGTGCCATGTCACCTTGGCCACCTGCAGGAGGACGGAGCCCTGCCCAGCACCTGGGTTGTCAGAAATGCTCGGCAGAGGTTTCCCAATCGCCACCCACCTCAGGCCCAGAGGGAGGCTCTTCCCGTCCAGGCCTCAGGCTGCAAATTCAGGCTGAGCCCAGATGCCAGGCCAAGCCCAGCAGAGGCCCTCCTGCCTAGCTCTCTCCCACAGCAGGTGCCCCCAGGCCGGGCCTGCACCTGAGGACTTGTGGCTTTGGAATAAAGTGACCCCATGCTCATTCCACCTCGGGACCTTTGCACATGCCACTCCTGCTCCCTGGCACTCTCCTTCCCTCTTCACTGGGCCTTTGGAGGCAGCTCCCCTGGGCTCCTATGACATGCACAGCTCCCGGGACTCTGCGCTCTCGGCACCTACATTTTAATACACTTATTGAATTGTCTGCTTATTGCTTGTCTCCCCAAGAATACAGTCAACTCCAGGCAGGCAGAAGTTCCCTCTGTTCCTCTCTCAAATCTCTTCTGTGCCAGACACAGAGTGAGCACTCAGATATTTACCAAAGGAATGATTCTAAAGTCTGCAGTCCATGCAATCAATGTAAGCTTTTTAAGACTCGGTATTCGGCTCCACTATCACGTTCTGGAACAGACTCACTGCTGCTGAGGGTCCTTCACTCTGGAGCCCACTGGCGGTGCATCTAAGGAGATCAGGCCCTAAGGGCTCCTCTCCTAAGAGGTGCACCTGCTGGTGACCAGGGAGGGAAAGACCCGGATGCCATGGAGATGGGCAGTCACCCTGCCGACGGCCCAGCCAGACATCCCTCCATCCTGACCCAGCATCTGGAACAGAATGCTGGTTCTGAAACAGGACAGGTTCTGAAAAACGGAGTAACTAAGTCACAGGTGCCAGGTTCCTGCTGCCTCCCCAGGCCAGGCGTGTGCTGCACACTCTCGTCTCTCCTCTTTCCAGCCTGCCAGACCACCAGACACTCACCTCCTGGCATCCTGCTCAGGTAAGCCAGGTAAGCAACCTGATCAACATAACCCCACAGGTCATCCCAGACCATTATTGCCTGGGGCGTGGGGCGGGGCTGCACCCTAGGGTACCATGCTGCAGAATTTAGAACAGGGTGGTGGGGAGAGGGTGACAAGATGCCTGCCCCGCCGACAGCAAGTGGCAAACTTGGGAGACTTTCAGCAACTCTCCACTGAGATCCCACATCCAGGGAACCCACAGGGAGCAGTAGGAGGAATGGGTGGGCACAGGGGCAGCTGGACCCCTTCCTACTCTCTGGTGGCCTCAGTGGCCACACCCGTCATTCAAGGCCTTCCAGGCTTCCATCTTCCTTAACTACCAGGATCCTTACTGCTTGTCCACGATTTGGGCCCCTCTACTCTTCTGGTGTGCCCCTGGTGCAGGTGTATCTGCGGGGCCATGCCTGCTGCCCAAAGGCAGCCCCTCACCTGGCAGCCAGCTCCCCAGACCTGCTGACACTTGTTGAACCAAACCCAGCACCAACCTCTCCCCTACACAGGCACAGCAGGCCCTGACCCTGCATACATCCCCTCTCCCCTGCCCACGGGGTCCTCCTCCAAAGGCCAGCCCCTCTCCCATCTCTGCGACCACATGGGGCAGCCCAGACCCCATACGGCCCCAGTAAGGACCCCATACGATCCTAGGAGTGAGTTCTGCAACCTGCCTCCTGGCGGTACAAGACTCGGCCAGGCTGCCCACCGGAGCCTCCATTTACAGAAGGAAGACCCAGACAAGGCCCCCAAGGTCACTAAGCAGGCTCGCGGTGGGCGCTGAGCCCAGCCATCCTACCCCTCCAGGGGGCTGATCAGGCCCCCACCTCCCGCGGAAGTAGGGGCCAGGCCGTGACAGCCCCTCCTGGATGGGTGTGTCCCGGGGGCGGCCGCGGCCCAACCCCCGCCCCTCCGGCCTAGACCGTGGCAGGCCACCTCCCAGAAGTCGCGCGCGTGTGTCCGCTGCCCGCCTACTCCGCGCTGTCCACCCGGACAGACCCCGGGGGTCGGAGCCCGCCCCCATCGCGCAGGCCGGGGCGGGGGTCCACCGGCTGCACTGAGACCCGGAGCTGCGCGGCGGCGGCGCGTGGGCACCGGAAGTGCCGCCGCCGGGCTCCGCCCCGCCAGTGCCCACGGGGGGGCACTTCCGGTCACGCGGGGTCCAGCGCGGCCTCAAAGGGTCGTGCGTGGGGGGAGAGGACGCGCCCCTTGCTCGAGGGCGCCCTCGGCCCTGGGTCCGCGCGCTCATGGGCACCGGGACCCCGGCCTTGGGCACCGCGGCGCCCCGCCCCCGCGCCTTCCCAGGACCCAACCCCACCTCGGGGGACCCCCCCCCCCCGCCCCGCCCTGGCTCTGGAGACTCCCGCGGGGTCCCGGGCCGGACCGCGGCTCCCCAGAACCCGCGCAGCCTCATTCAACCGCGATTCCAGGAGCTCTGCTGAGCGCCAGAGCCGGTTGGCTCCATCCCAGGCCCCGCGATGGTGGAGGGAGGCGGTGACCCCTATGAGTGGCCTCGGGGAGGCTTCTTGCAGGCCCGCGTGCCCTCAGATCCGGACGGGGCAGGGCCGATCCCTGCCGGGCAGGGCCCCCAGGACAAGAGCAGGTGGGCCGGACGCCCACGGCTGGTGCGGGGCCAACGCTGGGTAAACGGTGGGGGGTTGGGGGTGTTCCCAGAATGGAGGAGGACGTGGACCGAGGTGGCCAGCCATTGGGCCCGGGTAGCTGGATGAATGCAATAAGCCCTCAGATCTGGAAGCCTTCCATGTGACCAGGAGGAGGGCCTGCTTCTGGGAAGTGTTCCCCCAGCAGAGGGAGGCAGGAGGGGAAGACTGCCGCCCAGGAGGTGTGAGAAGGTGAGGTGAGAGACTCAGGGGATGCCCACAGCCCTCCCCAAAACTTACCTGCCCCCCCCCCCCGCAGGGTCGCAGCTGCCGTCTTATGGTGGCATCTGGCACCCACGGAGGCTGGGCCCTGGGCCTTGCCCAGCAGTCATCGCACTGGTACTATTTTTCTTCTGTTTTCACTAATGCCCCCCACCCCCGCCCCTTAAGACAGGACATCAACATCACAGCCTCACCGGGCTCTCAAGAGGGTTCACACCTGCTTGAAGTGACAGCGTTTCCCCTCCAGACCCGCGGTGTCTGGCTATGGATCTGCTCAGAGCACAGAGGACTCAGACCTGCCTGCATAGGGATTTTCATCGCAAGGCGGGGGAAATGTAGCTGTGTGTGGTGATGAGGGTTAACTAAATTTACTGTGGCAGTCACTGCACAGGACACTGGACACCTAAAACGAATGCGATGTTATGTCAGTTATATCTCAATAAAGCAGAGATAAATATATACATATATATACATATGCACACACACACACACACATATATAGTTTCCCCGGCGGTCCAGTGGTTAGGACTTTGCCTTACAATGCAGAGGGTGAGGGGTTTGATCCCTGGTCAGGAAAGTAAGATCCCATACGCCTGGATCCCAAAAAGCCAGAACATAAAATGGAAGCAATATTGTAACAAATTCAATAAAGACTTTAAACATGGTCCACATCAAAAGAAAAAAATCTTTAAAAGCTAAAAATTGAAGGTCTCGTTAAAAGATGGAAAAAAAAATCAGAAGTTCTGCCAGTGTCACGCCAGTGGTTCGCAGGGTCCTGCTCCGGGACCTGAGAAGTGACCAGCCCCTGTGGGTGAGACTGGGCTTTGAGGCTCCATGCCCATCCCCCCACCTTTCTGCAGGCCCACTGGTCCGTGGCACTCCCCATCTGGTCCTGTGGGCCTCCGGGACCCCCTCCCCACCCTTCACCCCAGGTGGTCCCATTGAGATCTGAAGGGGAGATAACTCAGGAGAGCGGCAGAGCCAGGAAAAGGGGAGCACCAGGAATGGAGGCACCGGGGACCGGCATCTGGACCTGAAGGGGTGGGGCGGGGAGGGAGGCTTTGGGGCCTGCAGGGAGCTGGAGGTGGGCGGTGGTGTCACAGGGTGGGAACCGGGGTTGTGGGGGAGGAGTGCAACTCCCCCCGCCCCAGGCCTGTGCTCCCCTTCCCACCCTCCCAGTGCTGCCCACTGGTCAAGTCCACTGCTAATGTGGGGGGCAGGGGATGCAGTCAGAGTCAGGCCCCAGAACCAGATGGGAAACAAATGGGGGAGGAGGTGGTGGTGACTCAGTTGCTAAGTCATGTCTGACGCTTGTGACCCCATGGACTATAGGCCGCCAGGGTGCTCTGTCCATGGGATTTGCCAGGCAAGACTACTGGAGAGGGTTGCCATTTCCTCCACCAGGGGATCTTCCCAACCCAGGGACCCAACCTGGGTCTACTGCATTGCAGGCAGATTTTTAACTGACGGGGATTCCTAACGGACGGGAAAGCCCAAATCGGGGAGAGGGGCAGGTGAAACAGAACTGACAGCTCATCCCTATCTTCCAACCCTCCACCTTGTCAGGCAGGAACCCCACAGCACCCCGGCATCTGCTCAGATGTCCTCTTGGCCTGTTCCCACCTGACCCCGCCCCTAAGACCCGATTTCTTCCCCTGATCTCTGCAGATGTTCCCAGCCGTTGAGTCCACCAACTCTGCCCACTGGGCGCCCCCCACCCAGTCCCTACCCGAGTCTCCTCCCTCAGCTGACCACCAGCCTCCCGAGGCCATGCAGAGGCTGCCGCCCTAGGCCCTGCAGTTTCCTCCCCTCCCTGAGGGTCTCCTCCCCACGCCCCACCCCCGGAGCCTCTCCTTCCTCCTGCGCTGTGATGGGCAGATTCCCCAAAGCTGGTCCCGTGCGGGACAGTGAGTGACGGTCCACGCGGAGGTCGCAGGTTGCAGGGCTGCTCCCACTCGCCCTCTGCCTCACACCTGTGGAGACTGCAGGAGCCAAGCGTGCTCAGGCGTCCGCCCACTCTTCTGTAAGAGTAAAACCTCAGCCCCTCGACAGGCTCCTGAGTGCCTGTGTTTGTTTTGGAATCAAATACAATTCCCCACTCTGTGATCCCACCTGACTCCGCTCCTACGCTCCACTGGACCTGGATTGGATGTATGGGCCTCGCCGACAGCCTCAGCCTGGCTGAGCCTCTGCAGGTGACCCCCTCCCTGCCCTGCAGGCCTGGCGTCACCTTTGTACCTACTCAGGGCTGTCCCGAATGGACCACACTTGGGCCTCGCATGATCTAAAGTCACCTGGCCTTGACTCTTCCAAGCACCTAAGTCCTGAGCTGCCAGGGGTCACAGCTGGCTGCCCAAAGGTGCCTGTGGGCACAGACCCTGGGGGCAGAACCCCTGCCAGGCGGGCCTGTCTTCACGGGGTGCTGGGGAGCCAGAGACCCAGCTTCCAGCCTTGACGCGCCTCCTCCCCTCCCCTGTTCCCTCCATCTTGCAGTGATATTCCTTGAAACATCCTGTGGCCCTGTGCTTGGGCTCCATGGACTCACCATTCCTGGCCACTGACCTCTCTCGCCACCTCTTCCTGTGGGTTCGCAACAGCATCCTTCACGCCCTCTGAGGCCAGCAGTCCGACCCCTGCTTTTCCCTCATTCTCAGCGAGAGTTTTTGATCTGGGTGTATGTCCACGCTTGGTCTGTACACATCGTGCATGGATGAATGTAGGACCCTGTGCTCACTCTGGTTGGTGGGGAGTGGGGGAGATGGGGGCCCCATGGCTCACCAAGCCGGAAGGATCATGTCGAAGCATGTGAGAACCTTCTGGGGGCAGAAGGGCTGTAGGACGAGGTGTGAAAGCTGATGGGGGAGGGAAGCTAGCAGGGGTGAGACCAGCGACGGAAAAATCCAGAAGGCCTGTGGGAGTCACTGTGTTGCCAGGAGAATCTGGTGACCAAAGTGGTAAGTCTAGACTCAGCTAAGGGCCCAGCCCCAGCCACAGGAAGACTCGGCTTTAGGGCCACCTGAATTTACATTGAAAGTGTTAGTTGCTCAGTTGTGTCCAGCTCTTTTTGATCCCGTGGACTGTAGCCCACCAGGCTCATCCGTCCTTGGAATTCTCCAGGCAAGAATACTGGAGTGGGTAGCCATTTTCTTCTCCAGGAGATCTTCCTGACTCAGGGATCAAAGCCATGTCTCCTGCATTGTAGACAGATTCTTTACCATCTAGGGCTTCCCGGATAGCTCAGTTGGTAAAGAACCCACCTGCAGTGCAGGGGATCCCGGTTCGATTCCTGGGTTGGGAAGATCTCCTGGAGAAGCGACAGGGGACCCACTCCAGTATTCTTGCCTGGAGAACTCCATGGACTATACCAGGGGCTCACAAAGAGTCAGACACAACTGAGCGACTCTTACTTTCACTTTCTTTACCATCTGAGCCCCTGGGGAAGCCCTGAATTTACACTGGGGGCTCTCAGAACTCAGCGTTACACTCCTATCAGGCAGTGACAGAGAGCCCCGGGATCAGAGTTATAAATAGAAACAAGGCGTCAGTATTCCATGCTGTGGATGACTGGAGGTGGACCAGGAGGTGGATGCCATTTGGGGACATGACAAAATCTAGATGTACCCAGTGCTGCCAGCCACCTGGCTCTGCGAGGGGTGGCTGATG